TTTCTCTTCTTTCCTTCCTCTTCTTCTCCGGCTCCTCCACTCTCTTCTTCAGTCCTTATATGTTCTCTCTTAGCTCCCTCTTCTTCTTTCTTCATCTTTCCATCTGCTCTCCGTAGTCTCTTCTTAGTTCTTCCATCTCCCTTCTTATCTTTTTTCCTTGTTTCTTTATCTCCTTTACATTTCCCATCATCTCTTTCATCTCTGTCACTTCCTGCCACATATCCCTAATCATTTTCTTTATCTCCCCTCTCTCCCTTTTTTCATCTTTTCCTTTCTCCGGAGACCTCATTATTATGTTGCTTCTCTTGAATGCCTCACCTTCTTTTTCCTCTAGATCTCTTTTCTTTTTTTTTAGTAAATCCTCTATATTTCCTAAGCTACCACTTCTTTCCTTTTCTTTCTTATTCTTCGCCCCTATTCCCTCACCTCCTATACTTCCTATACTTCCATCTTTTTTTCCGCTAAACATCTTTCTAAACTCTTATCTTCTTTCCTATCTATAATTCTCTTATTTCTCTGTTTTCCCTTCTCACTCCTAATTCTTCTCTATATTCTTCCTACTTCTTGTTTCTGCGCATCACTAATTTCTCCCTAGAAACTCTTCCCTAGCGTTTACCTCTCTCTGTATCTTCTATACTTTCTGCCTAAACTATCTGCTGACAGCCGTCTCCCTAACTCTCTCTATCTCTCTATTTATCTCTATCTATTTTCTCTCACTACACTTTCACTCTCTTACTTTTTCTTCCTCTCTCTCCTGACACTATTCTCTCCTCTCTCTTTCTTCACTCTAACCCTTCTAAATTTCCCTCAGCTTACACACTCACTCTCCACGTGTACACTACAACGGCACCGGAAACGGAAGTAATGTCCTTACTATTTGATGATGATACCTTTTTGCCTTTCCTCATCAATTTCTTTTGAATTTTTCGTAGTTTTATTTGAACCTTTTCTTCATTAAGGAGGAACCATCTCTTTTTTATTTCTTTCTCATTTTTATTATACTTTAATTTCACACTTGCTGATACAATGTGGTTTCTCGTCATACACAAAAAACGTTATGATGGAAGAATGGACAGGGGCTTTATAGGGGGGGGGGGGCTCTCGTTTTCTCCTTCCTATTGGCTAAACACTGGTGACTCCTAGCGGACTAAGCGGACTAAAGCGGTACTACCTACTTATCATTAGAGATCTCGAAAACGAGACACAATGCATAATTATAATTTGTATACAAATTATAAGGCGTATATAAAGTGTGGCCATGGATACGAGAAATAAATGAAAGTCACAGCCACGACTACACAATACGAAAAACATGAAAATTGATATAATGAACGTGTTATCTCAACATATATCTTATTCAGTAGAGGTCTAATTTTATTATACATTAAACAATTCGTTGATATCACGTATACATTTTTTAGATAGATTTAGTAATTAAAATCTTCTATAATATAAATTCCCAAAATTATTAATAGCAGTCACTAGTGTTTAAATAAGAGTTGTAGAAATTAATCGACCAAACTAACGAGTAAATGATTTATTCAGCTTCACAAACTGAATAATATATTTACTCGCTAGTTTGGTCGATTAATTTCTACAACTCCTTCTTTAATATATACAATGAATTCGATTATTGAACTAATATACATATTTCTTAACTAGTGAAATAATGCAATGAGATGCTGGATGTATTTATTTTTATGAAATTTTATCTTATAAATTTTATACTATAAAATTTTATATTTTTCTATGAAATAATATTTAAATATTTAATGAATAAAATTATTAACTTTACTGAGCACATTTACTGAGAGAGAGAATAAACAATTTTATTGATTTAAATATTACATTAAATCATGTACGTTCAAGTACATTCTATTAACAAACAATGATCATGATATTAATAAACCTTCTTATTGACTAATGACAAATATTCAATATAGGATTCATAAAATTAATTAAAATTTAGAAGATGCTGGAGTGACAATCGAACTCTGATAGGTTAGTACCACACATATCTAAACATATGCACGTATACACATATACACATGATAGGTTAGCACCATACATATTTAAACATATGCACGTTTACACATATACACATGATAGATCAGCACCATACATATTTAAACATATGCACGTATACAACACATATGCGTGAAAATTTCCTGTACCGGTTTCTTATTTATTAGGCTTCTAAACTTATATCTAAAAATTTACTAATACTTCTTCATTCAATTTCTAGAAATCTATCTTATTTTGTATGTACAAACAGTAGAACTTTTTTATTAAATAATTATTTTTCTGATCTGACGACAGAAACCGATAAAGAAATTTTAGTTTTTAAATTTTTTCTTGTTTTTAACATAAAATCGGTAGGTTCCCACTTTGTTTCTGTACGTACTTTAATCGTGGAAAAGCATTTGTTATTCTAACGCAATAAAAACTTCTCAATTGTGAAAACATATAATTGGTTCGGTCGGTAGAAACATACCTGCAGCATCTCCTACTGAGGTTCATAATTTAATAAAGAAAGTTCATTATATATATATATATATATATATATATATAATATAATAGACAAATCATAAAATTTTTTGGTATATTGGTTTAATCAATTTAGTTATTGAGGCAATTAACAAACTTTAGTGATTAATAAAGTAATACATTGATGTGCGTGCGTGCGTGCGTGTGTGCATGCATCTTATCATTTTTATGACATTTTATGATACACATTTAATGATTGAGTTTATAGATTCCACTGAACTCGTTCATTGGCAAAATAAACTTTTTGTTGGTTTAATTAAATGTTATATAAAGAGTGACTTGTCATATTAATGAATCCAATTATTACTAATGAAAAATATTCAATATTATTTTATGTTTACGTACGGGCGATACTGCATGCAAACTGATGTGCTGGCTTGCTCCGAGAGAGCGAGAGACAGCGCGGAAACGCGGAAGAGCGAGTGACGGAGATAAAGGAACAGGGGGAGGAGAGGGAGAGGGGAACGGGAGAGGGAAAGGGTGATAAAGAAAGGGGAGAGGGAGAGGGAAAAGAAGAAGGGAAAGGGAAAAGGGATAAAAAGAAGGGTGGGAGAGGGAAAGAGAAAGAGAGGGAGGGAGAGAGAAAGAAGAAAGTAGATGAATGCGTATAGTAAAGAAGAAACGGAATTAACCGCAGATTTAACAGTTTTTAAATTTCACGAATGCGATATATTTAATTATCACATTTGAAGTCTAATAATGAATGCACAATTAGTACAAATATCAAGTGTCCCGAGAATATTTTACGCTCGCTCAAATTTACTAATTGTAAGTATCGAATTATTCGGATTTACTAAGTATCGAATTGTTTGAATTTACTAAGTATCTAGATTGCTCGCTTAATCGTTCGCGGAAATCTCTGCATGCTCGCTCGAATTGACTGACAGGAAGTCTGATGATTTCCATTTTTTGATCGTTTATATATTTCACAATGATCTCGAAAATTCTCGGAAGTTTAACGGGAATTCCGAGTTTGCGCAATACCTGAACTTGCCGAAAGTTGGTTAGACAATCGTTTCGAGACAATAACAAGAGTCATAAAAATACGCGGAAAAACAGATTGATTTATTACGTACCGTTATGTTTATCGATTGCTCATTCGGAACAATTAAGCAGAACAGAACAAACGTTTTTCAGATAAGCACATAAGCTAACATATAAAAGAAACAATAGATATACAAAAAAATGATATATGTATACAATATACGAAATGAGAGAAAGAAATGATTGCAGCAAACAATATAGCACGAATATAATTTAGAATTTCGCAAACTTTTACTAACTTTAACATATTCATGATAACAATTAAAAGTTTATTGTATCAATGAATTTTAAGCTAATGAGCTTAATAATTTATTAATACTACAGTATTTTTTACAGTGTGAGCTGCATTGACAAAATGTTAGATTTGAACCGTTGTAGCTCAAAAATTTTCATTACTTTTTATTGTACTGTTCAATTATTTTTAGTTGTGGGTATGCGTGTGGAGATTTTTTTATCAAGACGATTTAAATTACAAAATATCACAAGTATAGCCACATTGAAAACCATAAGAATAATGCGGGTTCTTTAAATATATATTGTCATATATTACTGATACATTCAAAAAGTTTAAATATTATTCATGTTTGATGGTTACTCTATTTAACATGCTACCAAAGTTAAATGGTTATTTAAATGAATATTTTCCTCTTTATGATAGAATAAATAGTGCAAATTCTCTCGGTTTACTTATTATTTGGCGACCTGAATGCATATAATTATAGTGTACACTTTCATTATGTAGCAATATTCATTGATAATATTAATATTTTTTATTAATATGTAAAAAATTAAAAATATATATAAATAAACTTGGCAAACTTGATTTCGACGTAACTAGCAATTTTATTTAATTCTTTCACGACGTTTCGACCATTTGGTTGTGGTCCTTATCAAGTGAAAATTCCATTAATTAAACTGAGATTAACGCAACATCACACCGGTCTTATTTAAAATTAATAGTTAAAAGTTAAAAGAGGAACACGTCCCATCGCTATGATGTTTCGTCAACGACTCGTTAAAGGAAAATATATATATGCATTTTCACAAAAAGAGGAACACGTCCCATCGCTATGATGTTTCGTCAACGAGTCGTTGACGAAACATCATAGCGATGGGACGTGTTCCTCTTTTAACTTTTAACTATTAATTTTAAATAAGACCGGTGTGATGTTGCGTTAATCTCAGTTTAATTAATGGAATTTTCACTTGATAAGGACCACAACCAAATGGTCGAAACGTCGTGAAAGAATTAAATAAAATTGCTAGTTACGTCGAAATCAAGTTTGCCAAGTTTATTTTCACCACTAGCGTTCAATATTAATTTTGATTGATATATATAAATGTTTTCACAAAATTTTGAAAATTAGATTTCATTTTATATCCTATAATAAACGATTTTTACTTTTTAGTTTCACCGACTGGATCTAACATAATCAGCTTTGTTTCTAACATTACGTATCAAAATCCACCAGGACCTCTTATTTCACAAAATAATGGATATCAATTTATGTGTGGAGATCCTTTTGTGCCATCTACGTGCACAGAGCCATGTGCTTGCGCTCATGTTTATCACATTGAACTTGGAGCACTCGTGGATGTTATGATTTATGATGAAAGTATGTATATAAAAAGAATATCAAAAATGTAAAAAAATGCATATATATTTTCCTTTAATCGAAATATAATTTTTTACAAAAATACAATCTTTAGTCGGAAAAATAAGTTTATCAGCCAAAATATAAATAATTCTTTATAAAAATAATATTATAAATTAGAGATAATAAAACAACATGAGCCTATTACGAGCTGTGTGAATTGATGTCAAACATATATATTTCCAAACTTTACATCAAATCGTATAAATCTACTTTACAATGGTACAATGAGACGTTTCGACCGGTCTTACTTGCGTCTCTTCAGGCATAATTAGTTAAAACATAATGAAACGTTGGTTAAGCCAGTACAATGTGATCCGTATTAAGTCAATTCTCTAATATGTCCTAGGTCTCGCGATTTCTATTATTAAAATTTTTTACTACCATATAACACTTCTTCAAACAATATAACCAAAATTCAAGTAACTTATAATATAACTTTCACCTTAACTTCCAATTAAAAAACCATAGATTGACACTAGTCACAGAAAGATAGAACATCTTGATACTCATGTTGTTAATACAAAAGTGATACGAGTCGCAATCTGGCACTATATATATATCTGCCGCTAATTGGTAAACATGTTTTGTAGAAATTGTTTGAAAAGTTCGTTAGGAAGACTCCAATAAAGGAAAATAACTGCTATCTAATGTATCTAAATCTTCAATTTTATTTAAACCTCTGTTTTGTTGTTTTATAAAAATAATCTCTGATATTAATCGTTTATATAAGTCGTATAATAATTGATTATATTAAATTTGATATTTAATAAGAAACAGGATTACAATGAGACGTTTAAGAAATAAATTTTGATCGAGCTTTAACAGTCGTTAAGAGTCATCGTATTTTGATTTTCGGTGTTTAGTATAGCTTTCGTGAATAATTTCTTAAGGCGTTCGTTAATTAAAAGATAAACTTAAAAGCACATTCATTTTCCAACAAAGTATTAATCATAAAGATGAGATTCTTGGTATGAAACCGAGGATCTGATAATAAAAAAATTCTGTCCATAAACTAATAATCGTACCTCTTTTTGGCACAGTAGATGCTGAAAAAAAACTTAAGATATCTGCCAGAAAAAATTGATTTACGATACCAATCAAACATTAACCGGTTGTCGATCACCGTCATCGTGACATCTAAAAAATTAAGAGTTTTTATTGTCTATCTCTAAAATAAATTTTAGTCTGAAATGAAATAAACTCATTTTTGTAACGATGACAATGACCGACAACCGGTAATGTTTGACTGGTATCGTAAATTATAAAAAATAAACTAGAACTTTAACCAATTGAAATTCTAGTTATTTCAGCTTATGGCTAACTTATTATTTTTATGTTGTGGAATGCATAAAGCAATAATCTTATTGGTTTTTAAGCTTACGTTTACGTCTTATATTTACAGTTACACCAATTCGTGTGTAAAGACCTTAATGCCCAGCGCGCTTAATATATTACCAACAAACTTCTTTGTTCTTACATTGTCATCCATACCTTAAACTTGCTTTATTTATTTCTGCTAATTTATTTATTTCTTTTATATTAAATATTGTCTCAAGCACTTTTCTTATAATTGTTTTCGAATTTACTTACATTTACTTACATTACTCCAATTCTTAGCTACAAATGATTTATTATTTTAAACTGATGAATTATTCGTACAGGTACTTTATTATTACTAGCAAAAAGTGAATCTATAATTTTCGATTATCCTTTGTAATTCTTATCTATCAACAAACAGTTATATATCTAAGTAGTTATACTAGGGGGGTTCTAACTCAGGGGCAATGAGGGGGGTGCGGCGCGGGGAGGTTTTTGGGGGCGAGGGGGTATGACGTCACGCGGGCGGGGGTCTTATCAGCAGATAAGCTTATCTATGTTTATAAACAAAAGATAAACAATATCTATTACAAAGGGTTGCCGACAATCGGGGGGGGGGGGTTGCGTTTCTTCTCCTCATACGTTTATGTTTATAAACAAAAGATAAACAATATCTATTACAAAGGGCTGCCGACAATCAAGGGGGGGGGGTTGCGTTTCTTCTCCTCATACGTTTATGTTTATAAACAAAAGATAAACATTCCATCAATATCTATTACAAAGGGCTGCCGACAATCAGGGGAAGGGGGGGGTTGCGTTTCTTCTCCTCATACGTTATCTGTATATTTCTAAGAAATATAATCAAATTTTAAGAAGGGCCACCGCTTGGCATGCGCCGACAATCAGTTCTCTGAAAATCTAAGATAATCAAATTTTAAGAAGGGTCACCGCTTGGCATACGCCGACAATCAAGGGGGTTGATACATGATCTATACGTATATTTCTAAGAAATATCAGCGGGTAAAGTTTCAGGGCGAACAAGTTGCTGCCTGCAACCTCATCGCTTGCGGCCTGCGACATGTTTTTGCATGGGATTGTATATCACCCTCGCGGTACCTCCCCAATAAGCGGCGGTTCTTTATTGTTTATCTTAGGAAGAAATACCAGCGCCGATAACCAGCGGCTGCAGGAATTTATAAACAAAACAAGCGCCGAAAATTTACGTCATCTAAATTTTTCTCGTTCGTACGTTGACGAACAAAGGGTTGATCGGGGATATATAATGAGGACCGATGCCGCTGCCGGGCCATAGTACCACTGGCGAGCGCATGCTTCATTCGAGGTGCAAGAAAAAAAGTTTAGTGTGCAAAGAAGTTTTTTTGTAATAAGTGTGAAAAAGTGAATTTTTTACAAAAATGGAGAACGTTGAGCGCGACCTGTTGGAGCGTTCCCGCCAAGTTGCTAACTTGGGCGAATATTTCGGATGGCTGCAAGAGTGCGAAGAATTTATCACACAGCTGGAAGAACGCAGCCGTGTCAAGCGTCCGCGTCTCTCGATTGGACATAGGCAATCTCTCGTGGCGAGAATAGCGCGACTCGAGGGTGCAAAGGTGCGCTTGCAGAGACAGTATGTCGGTGAATCCATGTTTAGTGGTGGATCCATGCCTAGTGGCGGCGGATTCAGTGGCGGCGGCAATAACGCGCAAAGACTAGTTTGGCGCGAAATCGATACGGCGTTCGATAGCCGTATACTGACCGGTGCGGTAATTAACGCAGACTATATCGAACCGCGTCAATTTTTGGAAAATGCCAAAGACATTATAGTCGAGAACGTGGAGAATGTGCTGCAGAGACACATCAGTGTAAAAGTGAACACTGTTTTCAACGGTGAATTTGTGTCCGGTGACAAGCGTGCCAATAAAAGTATTAACACGAGAAACTTTGAACTCTTTCGCACGTCCGATGTACGCGAGTGGTACGAGCGCCGCGTAATCGAGCCCACGCTAGCATCGCTAGAAGAGTTCCAGGAACGCGATAGCGGCTGGGCATTGTCGCGGATAATAGATTTGACAGTGAATGTAAATAAGTACAATCCAATGCGCGCGGGATGTCATGTCAAATTATGGCAAAGAGAGCGGTGGTTAATGTGCAATCAGCGGACAATGCGTGTTTCGCATGGTCGGTGGTGGCCGCTCTTTACCCTGCTGAAATAAACACGGGTCGAGAATCCTCTTATCCACATTACACAACAGTGCTGAATCTCCAAAACATTGAGTTTCCAGTGACTGTGAATCAAATTAAAAAGTTTGAACTTGCAAACGACATCTCTGTGAATGTGTACATCATCGAGAACGAGAACATCGTCCCGTTGCGTCTTTCGGAAAAAAAGAAGGACAGGCACGTCAATCTGCTGTACGTGGAGGACGAACACGGGCATTTCGCGTGCATAAAAAATCTGTCTCGTCTCGTGAGCTCGCAACTGAGCAAAAAGAAATGTAGAAAATTTATTTGCGATCGGTAAGTATATAGTAAACTTAAATTATATTTAAAATATTTCTAATTAAATTTTTTATTTTTTACAGATGTTTACATTATTTCGGAGCGGCGGATAAATTGCAAGCGCATACGGAAGATTGCGGGAAATTGAACGACTGTGCTATCCAGTTGCCAAGCGACAAGGACAAGTGGCTCAGCTTCGACAATTACACGAGGAAGGAGCGGCTGCCGTTTGTAGTGTACGCCGATCTCGAGTGTGTTTTGGCAAAGACCGAAGATGCCAAAAATCATCAACACCAACAAGTGTTCAGCAACGCGTATTACGTACAGTGTTCGAACGACAGTTCGTTGTCCGCGTACAACCCGCCGTAGTGTCGAACCCGTCAACGAGGCACGCCGAACAGCTTAAAAATTTAGCAATCCGCGTAAAAAATATTTTAACGACCAATGTCCCCATGGTAAATTTAACGCCTGACGAGTGGTTAAAATTTCGCACCGCGACGCATTGTCACATTTGTGAGAAACCGTTTGACGAAGACGATACACGCGTCCGCGATCATTGCCACCTCACCGGGCGGAACAGGGGTCCCGCGCACTCAAATGAAAGTTAAATAACAACGAGCAACATAGTTTGGAGAGACGGCAGTGGTAAACGAGTTGCACGCGTCAGCGAGAAAAAATTTCCCTCGAAGACATGTCATAGTGCGAGGATACGATGATTTGTGGCAAGCCGACATTGTCGAGATGCGTCCATACTCCCGTTTTAACAGAGGTTACCACTACATACTCACCATTCGATGTGTTGAGCAAGTATGCGTGGGCTGTACCACTCAGAGTAAAGGAGGAAGCGAGACAGCTGACGCAATCTCGAGAAATTCGGGATAGCAAGAGATGCCCGAAAAAGATGAAACGGAAAGGAATTTTACAACGCCGATGTGCAAACTTTAACATGACATGAAACTATTCTACATATTCGATATTGAAGGCGTCGGTCGTCGAGCGATTCAATCGACTAAAGAACGATTATGTGGAAGATGTTTACGCTGAATGGTACTTACAAGTGGTTCGACATGCTGCCACGTCTCGTATCAGATTACAACGGACGCAAGCATCGAACGATTGGTATGCGACCCGCCGACGTTACC